CTACAAGCCATCTGGGAGTTTTGTTAACATGTGTATTCTGATTCAGAGGGATGGGGTAGGCCTGTGAACCTGCATTTCTAACAAGCTCTGGGGGGTTCCATAGACCACACTTTGAATAGAAAAGCTCTAAGCACTGTAAAACTGTTGTCTCTTTCAGCTCGGCCTGCTAGTTGGCACAACCTAAGAGCAAGCTGGAGAGCACAAATTTGGCTTTTACCATGAGCAAATTAATAAAAAGTATCTGAAGGCTCTCTTTTTGAAACTGGCATTTTGGAAACAGATTCTGCATTGTAGCTGAACCAGCCAGGGGTGTAAATAGAGGATGACTCATCTGGAGGTCACCTGTCCAGGTGACATGGGAGCAAGCATGATGAGAAAGGTAAGGGAAAGGTTCAGGCAGGCCCAGCCAATTCCCATGCATCCAGGTAGCTGTGCAATGGTGAAATCCTAGTCTGAAGGCCTGTGGTTGGAGATGGAAAGGAAAGCAGGATGCGTGGGACTTTCACAGGTGTTAAACTGCTTGGGGCTCCTTCAGAAAAAGAACTAGAAAAACATAACCCCAATCACCATTTTGAGTATTTTGGTAATTATTTCTCAAGTGTCGAATTTTTAGTGAGAAAATAGCTGCATCACTTGGGATGCTCTGTTTTGAATTTGTGACATTGTTCTAGAAAATAACCTTTTTAAAAATCATATGAGTAATACTTGTTCTCTGCAGAACATTTGACAGTAAACAATGTTTTTGTATGGTCATAGTTGAGTTGATGGTCTGGACTAATTTTCTTTTATTCCTGTTTTCCATCCATCGCTGGTTGCCCTGCCTTCCTTGGGGAGCTGGCGCCAATGAGGGTTTAGTGATGAGGCAAACAGAATCTGCGGTCGGAGAAAAGCTGGAGGGCCTGCCTGTTGTGCTAAAGACAAACTGTGATCTCAAGATGAGATCACTGAGCTTTTCTTCACTTTCATCTTCCCTGCTATTTATGCTGGTTGTGAAATGCAGTGGACAGACTTCCTAAGACTAATGGAGGAGGAGGAAAAATCAAATGATTTTTAACAAGAAGGATAATTCTGGTCATGCCTTCCTTTCCCTGATGAAGTTCACAACCTACACAGATGGTGTGGAGCAGACCACATGGCAGGAATTTAGCACCCAGGGATTGATAGCCTTACTACATCTGTAGCCCCAAACATCCCCCCACCCCAAAACCATTGCAGGTACGAGATCATACTGGATCATACCAAAATGATAAGCAATTATTAACACCAGGGACTCACTAAGAATAAAATGAGACAGACGCATGAGCTTGTTGGAGAGAATAAAATCAGAGGCTGAAGGAGAAAAGGTGATGAGGATACCACAATGTAAAGTTCATTCAATACATCTGATATGTCCCCAAGCACAAGGTAGGAGCCTAGGTCATCTGGACACCTGTATCTGTGGCTCACTAAGTAAGCATCTTGGAGCTGGGGTTTATCTCTTTCAATTGTGGTTCCACCAGAATTCCTAAAACAGGGATTCTCCTGCGTTAGAGTGCATTTTCATCACCTGGAAGAGCTTGTTGGGAAGGCAGATTCCTGGGCTGCATCTCAGGCTGCAGACTCAGAGAAGCCCCTGGTGGTGGTTCTGATGCAGGGGATTGAGCTCATCCTCTGAGCGTTATTGCCTCTATGGATTCACACTGTTTGACAAGGTACTTGAAAAAAAAAATCAGGATCGGTCTTGTGACACTAGGAAAGAGTGTCATATTTTTACTCCTCCTACTGGTCTCCCACCAAGAATTAAGTGCATTCTTTGGAAAAAAATCCAAAGAAAAGAAAACTCAGGATAGACAAACTTCAATTTTTATATAATAGGTGTATTTCTAAAAGGTTGTATAAATCACATTTGTGTGAGTTAATCTTTACTTTCCCTTTATTGAAATCCTTACATGTTATATCCACTTTTGATTTTCACTTGGCAGTGACCTTGCCACATTCACTTTATTTTTCAGCTCCACCTAGCCGTGAATGAACTGAGAGAGCACGGAGGGCCACTTGCCTCTGCAGCAGCAGGGCCCCTCGTTCACCTGGGGGCTCCCTCCTGAGCACTGACAGCAGCTGTCACCTCTGCTCTCAGGGGGTCATTCTGCTGCTGGTTTCCTGTGACTCTGTGTGGGTTTTACACTCTGCCTCCCGGCCTGGGTCTCCCTGAGCTCTGTCCCTGAGGACTGTTCCCTGGATGAACTGTCAGGTTGTGGCTGGAGACCCAGAGTGACCCAGCCCTTGTCTACTCTTTCAGAATACACCACCTTAGACTAGTTGCCCTGGTGGTGCTGGCCAGCCATCTGGCTCTACTGTCGTATTTGGTTTAGAATGGTGGTACCATCATTAGTAATGGTCTCATCATCTTTTCCATCTTGAATCATTTTCTCCATTCCTTTTGGTCCAAGGCTTGCTCTAATAACATCAGCAGCAGCCTTGGTCGTGGAGATGTTGCTGAAGCAGACCTGGGCTGGCTTGTGTCCTGTTAGGTGTCTTCCTCACGGCAGCCAGCAACCCTGGTGGGCACCCTGCTCTGGGGTCTAAGTAACATTTTCATATTTAATCTTCCCCTTCATGTATATGGAATGTTTTTTTTATTTATTCAAATCTTCTTTTATAACATTCAAAAATTTCATGAACTTTTTCATGTTAACTAAAACTTTCTCCTTAAGTGTGATATCTTGTTTTTCTGCTGTCAGATTCTAAAGATTTTCTCCTTCAGGGTTAGGAAAGGGCTCCAGGGTAGCTATGGAATTTCACTGGAGAGGTGGGGGGGGGGCATAATAATTTACCAGCTGGCGTACTTCGGCCAAATTACTTTAAACCATAGTTCTCAAAGTGTGGTCCCAGACCAGCAGCATCAGCAACATTTGGGAACCTATTACAAATGCAAATTCTTGGGCTCTACCAGACCTCCTGAATTAAAAACTCTGGGGTTGGAACCCAGCTACTTATGTTTAACAAATCCTCAAGAGGATATTGATGAATACTAAAGTTTGAGAAATACTACATTAAACCAATGTTTCTTAACCTTGGCTGCACAGTAGAGCCACCCAAAGAGCTTTTAAAAAATACCAATGCCTACACTTTCTCTCTCCACACCCCAACTCGACTCGTCTGTTTGGAACCAGGGACAGGGATCTTTCAACCCCGTCCCCCCACCCGCTGGCTTCATGATTTTAAGGTTTAGCCAGAGTTGAGAACCACAGCTCTAAACTTAAGTTCATGTATAAAGTGGGGGAAAATACTTACCTCATAGCGCTGCTGTAGGGATTGTGATACAACATAGTTATGCAGTGCCTATAGCAAATGGTAAAGCAAATGACAGATGATAGTTATTGTTATAGTCATCTTCAGACTTAGAGGGATCAGAGCTAAATCATCAGATCATGAAAGGCCACTGGGAACCTGAGGGCCCAGTATTGGTTCATTCAGGTTATGATTCTGAGGTTGCCAGGCCATACCCATTACAGCGCTCACCAGCCAGTTTTTATGATTGTTTTTGGGTCCTTGCTCATGCTGTTTGCTTTAACTCTTTCTTCTGCTTGTGAAAATTCTATCTATAACAGTGTGGTGATTAAAGGTACAGACTTTGGACTCCGGTGGCTTGGATTTAATCCTCAGTCTAGACACTTAAGAGCTGTGTGATCCTGGGCATAAGAGCTCAGCCTCAGTCTCCTCATCTATAAAATGGGGATACTTATGTGAGGGGTTAAACAAAATATGGCCTAGGCCTACAAAGCACAATGCCCAGCATGTGCTAAGTGCTCCAAAAATGTTGATATTACTTGCATTCTTGCTTTTTTTTTACTGCTTGGGAAGTCTTTCCTGATGATGAAAACCACATTGATCTCTCCTATATCTAACTCCTTTACTAAATATTTACATGAATTTGTTTACTAGTTTGGCATTTAATGCACTGGCCAGTTCTCACATTCTCAGACTGGAGCTTTTTAGATACAACCTGTGTTCAATTTTTGTAGAATGCTGTTTTTATTCTAAACTCAATGGACCAATCAATAGTTTAGTGGCTTTTGGGAAGATTCTGCACTGAGCACCAATTGAGACTGTCTTATTGACAATCTTAGGAGGAGCTCACATCTCCTGTGCCAGAGACAGACAGCTCTCCATAAATGAACCTGTCCTCTATCCGAATACGTGATTCCTTAAGTAGAATGACAAAGGTCTTAGAACCACATTAGTTGAACTCTAATTTCTACTTTAATACAAACCTATAATATTGTCAGATCTTCATTTAGGTTAGGAAATTGCATCTGGGTAGCTTCTCTGGCCATCCTCACACTGGTTCTTCTCCACTTTGCTGCCTTTATGTCATTTACAAAACATTTCACTGTTTTAAGATCAGCATAAATGTTTCACTGTTTTTCCAGTTCTCGACATCCAGGGTTTTACTGTTTGTTTCTGTTTTATCTAAGTCTTCTCAGCTGTATTACTGTTTGTTTTGCTGGTTCGATCTCAACGTTTTTTTTTTTTTTTTTTAAAGAAATGATTTCTTTAGAACTTTTGAGTACTTAAAGAGAAAGGGCCAGGAAGACAGGATTTGAAAGATGTTTTCACTGTCTATTGCTCCTGAACTTTATTCCCTGCACTAAATCTCTGAAATTAGGCACTTAGGAACTTTGGTGGAAATCTTTGAGGAAAGAGGGACAGAGTGAAGAGGGCAGAATTTACAATTTTGATTTCTTTCTTGGAAGATGCTTTATAAATAAAAGCATTATTATGTTTATATGTACGTGTATACAAATATATGATATGCTTTTTAAAAAAAGCTTCTGGAAACCATAATTACATAAATAAGATGTATCTCCCACCTACGTCCTTTTCCTGAACCTATCATGCTGTGTGTAAATGTAGAGAACTTTATATTTTTAACAGATATTTCTCAACAGTGCCTTGGAAAAATCTGCTAGTAAGACGCAGCAATTCTTCCTAGTCACACAAAGCACTAAAAGTAAAAATATTTGATTAACCTTTTATGATTTACATAGTCCTTTTCACAAATACCTTAATATTTCATGAATCTTGAAGTATTATCATGATTTTACAGAAGAGGAGAGGTTCAGAGGTGACTGTAGGTCACATAGCCATTAAGTAAACCATGTCACAAACCCATGACTTTTGAATCTAAAATTCATTTTCTTTTTGCAATGTCATATTGATATCAAAGGTAAAATTCTCTGTGTACACTAAACGCTAAACACTAGAGAGAGAGCACAAATAGTTTAGGTTTTGACCAGAAATCTAATTAAACAATCTGGGTAGTCTAAACCTGGAGTTAAAGTTTTTCTGATCGTACTTATCATCATTTAACTCTTGGTCAACAGTGTCCTGAAATGTGTTGCCTCCCGTGGTGTCAACAGTTAACTCTTCCTCATCTTACTTTCCAGCTGGTCTACACCAGTTCAGCACAGGCTGTTCTGAGTTAGTGTTTACTCTATCAGTTGGTTTGAGGGTACAGCTTATGTACGAATACATTTTAGCTTTAGTTTCTGATTTTCAGCATGGAGCAGTGGCACACTAATTTACTGCTGGGTTACCTACAAACCTCCCCATTAACCACTGGTAAGGCTTCTTGCAGGCTCAGGGTCCAAGAGTCTCACTGAAGCTCTTTCAAGAGTTAACCTATACACTGATTCTTTGTTTTCTGACTCAGGTCTGCTGTTGGTATCTAATGTAGTTACTGTCTTTAAAATAGCATGCTAACTCATAAGTTCCTCCCTCTTATATTCAGGCCTTTTCCAAAAGTTGAAGATCACATAATTCAGAACATCCACTTAACTATACTGGGTTCAGGTTGAGAGCCTGTTCCTTAGCCCAGTATCCTGGGGTAATCATCCACCCACACCTCGCTCAGCTGCACTGGCTGAGAGTAACAGTGCATCTGCACTTTTTCTAAGTAAATTCCTGAGAGCTTGTCAATACAACACACACACATACATACACACACTCACTCATTCACACAATCTTAGGGAATAAGTCTATTCATCTCTGTATCCTCTACAACTGTTAAGTGTTAGGCACATGGCAGGTATTCAGTAGAGTTCTAAATGAATGGATTCTCAGCCATCTGCTGGAACTCACTTCTATCAGATACAAATCACCCAATTTTTATATAGCTTTTTTTTTTTCTTTTTACAGGCTATAACATAGGCCCTAGCCATACCATCTGGATTATGCATCTTTAAGAATACCATTTGTCTAAACATATGAACTGGGATTCTTCCTAGTTCAGGAATCATTCACTGTTGCAGGGAAAGAAAATTGTGGCTGTAGTAGCTGCTATATATATGCTTGTCTATGCACTTTTCCTGACAGAGGTAGAAACGGGTTCAAAGGTACTTTAGCACAACAATGTACATATAGTTAACACTACTGTATTGTACACTTAAAAATGGTTAAGATGTTAGGTTTTGTAATATGTTTTTTACCAGAATAAAAAAAAAAAGAAAAAATACTTAAAAAAATCTTACTGGGCAGTGCTAAAGATTCAGAACTCTTGAAAAGAAAAAAATCACAGAAGCCCTCACTACCTCTTTGGAAACTCACTGCTATTCTAGAACACAATAAAATCAGTAGCTAGCTACTCAGATATATACAACAGTCATCTCTCATAGCAAAAACATTTTACACACTCTGACCTCTGGTTAAGTCAAGCTTTTTCACAGAACTTGCAAAGCCCTTCATGATCTGTTTCCTTATGGCCAACCAGTGGTCTTTTTCAGTTCCTTGAACAGGATGATTTCTTCTTAACTTAGGGCTTAGCAAATGGTGTTCTCTATGCCTCAAACACTTTTCCTCTGGCTAACTTTTATTTATCCTGTAGGTATCATCTTAAATATCATTTTGTTAAGGAGGCCTTCTTTAGACTCCCTAATGAGGTTTGGGCCTCTGACTATCTCTCTGGATCCATCCATCCACACTCACACAAATTTGGCTTTTTCCTTTGTAGCATTTAATATAATTGTATGTAATTATATAATATTAGCCTCTCTCACAAGATTGAAAGTTCTATGAGGCAGGGGCTGTTTCTTTTGCTAACCACTGTGTTAACAGGGCTCCAGTACCTTGTATACAGTAAGTATTCAATACTCTCTTCCAAGGTACAGGCTTTTATCCAACAGATTTACCTTAACTAGATATGCTCAAAGGAGTAGGTGGAGAGGCACATAAAGTTTCTGAGCTTAGGAGTGAAGACAGTGACTGAATGGCCAGAGACGAAAGCAGCTTAGGGCTGAGTGGGTGGGGAAGCAAGAAGGGAGTAATGAGAAAACTTCAGGATATTCTCATTTAGTGAGGTTTCCCCTCTACTTCCTCAACATTCCATCACCACCCCAAAGTCATTAAACAGTAATATACATACTCATTTCATTAGAAAATTAGGTAAACCTCAGAATACAAAACCAACGCCAAAATAAATTTGCAGAATTAGATTGTGTTCAAGAAACCAGTCACAATTGAACTGGATGAGACTTCAACACAAGAGATGACTGTGTTTCTCCAAATAACCTCCACTTAGGAAGGTTACATTCTTCCAGTGTGTGGAAAGACAACAAATACACTTCTCTCAGTCACTGAGGAACAAATCTTCTCTCTTGCTGGGCCAACACTACTTCTTTTTTGTTGCTCTTTTCCCTTCTCCTTTCCTCGGTTTCCCCTTTCCACGAAGCTTCTTGAGACGCCTTTGCTCATCCTTAAAATCCTGATGCTCATCTCTGAATGAAGAAAGAAAAAATAATTAACCAGTTATTTTTACTAGCCAGGAAAAGTACACCAATCTAGCACTGTTCTCTTAGGTGGTCTGGCTGTCTCTCCTTGACTTTTACAGGGCACACGCTCAGCTTAGTGACCAGAAAGTACGGTGGGTCCCCATACAGATGGGTTGTGTTCAAAAAGTTCATTTATAAGTCAGTTTCCCCTAATAGGAACGATGCCATAAACTGCAGTTAAGTTCACAGGCCAGCCCATGTAAACCTATGTGACGACGATACGACCCTAATAATTACCCCCAATTTCCCTACAACACTAAGACTCCACACTGAGGGGGCAGAAAGCTTCAAAAACTACACAGAGACCCTGACTGCCCCAGGAATTAGTATCTACTAACCATGGGGAGAGGTCTGGAGGAAGCTGCCTTAATGGCAGTGATAACTCACACAAAAAGCCTGTTGGATAAAGGCCCAGGCAGGAGGAAGCTAAATGAAGACAGATACTATAGGAATCAAGGCAGCCAGGACTATCTATGCATGTGCATGTGTACAGGTTGAAGACTGCCCATACTATATAAAAATGTCTACATCTTAAGACCAAATACCTAAGGAACAGCATAGTATTTAAACATGCAAGCTCTGGAACCCGCCTGAACTTGGGTTCAATCACAGCCCGTTTATTAGCTCTGTGACCTTGGATAAGTGACCTTACTTCTCTGCACCTTAGTTTCCTTGTCTGTAAAGTGTGGATAGCAATGGTGTATGAATTAAATGTAAGAGAGAGGTTTGCTGGGCCCAAATTTTAACTCTTTAGGTGGTTTTAAAATCACTTGGTTTTACAGAGTGCGCTGTTTCATTCCATGAACATAATGGACTGTATTCAACTGACCTCTTTGGCATTAGCTATGAATGCCCCCAAATAATTATCAACAGAGCAGCCAGAGTAACTCTTCCAAAATATATGTCAGATCACGTCAGTGTGCTGTTCACAACCCTGCAAAAGGCTCCCGTGGCCCTCTCAGATGCTTGTGATCGGCCTCCTGTCCTACCATTCCTCCCTTGGCCTGTGCTAATCATGGAACAGACCAAGCACACTCCTGCCTCAAGCTTTTGCTCTGTGCTTGCCTCTGCCTTGCAAGCTCTTTCCCAGCCCCCACTTGGCTCACTCATCACTTTCAAGCCTCCACTTAAACCTCATCTCCTAGATGGGGCTGACCCTGACTATCCTGTTTAACACAGGTACTTGGCCTCTTCCCACCCACTGCAGGCCCTGTCAGCACACTAGATCCTGCTCAGCTGGCTCTACTATTTTTTTTTCCATAGCACCTTCAACTCTGTAACATATCACATAATTTACTTATTTGTTTTTCCCCTTCGTCTTTTCTACCCCCGTTCCCATCAACCCTAGGACAGAAAGATAGCTCCACAAAGGCAGGGGGCTTGATCTCTATTGATACTACAACCCACGCACCTGGTTAACTGAATGAATCTATTGCTTCTGGGAACTGGGGCTTCCCTTCCTCTTTTGCAGGTCTTTGAATATTTTCTTTAAGACTGTCTAGTTTCATCCTGTCTGATGCTACAGGAGGCCTAGCTTTAGAGACATCATATACCGTAACTAGTGACTAAATACATGAAGATAATTTTGCTTTTCCATGGATAACTAAATGCTATATATTTTTACCCTGACCCCAAAGATAGCCAAGTCTTTATTTTTCAAACAAATGGAAGCAGCAGCAAACTGATAAAATAGCTGCACGTGATTTTGTTACGGGTTATAACCTTTTACTCAGGGGACCCACCTTCTAATATTTTATTTTGAGTCATAATAAAATTAGTTTTTATCTCTGAGCCCAAACTAATGACAAGGGAGATAGTTCCAAAGCAATTTCAGGCATTCAAAATATGTCATAGATTATAACCACTAATAATATATCAACTAAGAAAATCTATTCTATTTTGTTCACTGCTGTTCCCTCAGTGCCCATCTTTTTTTCTTTTAGCAGCTGGCTGGTACAAGGATCCGAACCAGTGCCCATCATGAGTGCCCGCACATGAAAGGTACCTAAGAAAGATCTGTTGGATAAATGAATAGCTATCTGCAATGAGTATTGTGCTGCACTATTAATTTTATTATATTAGAATGAATGAATCTAAATAATTTTTGTGTTGCTGCCCAAAGACAAGTCCAATTAAAACATGTTAAAATTTTAAAAAGATGGTAGGAATTTTAACTTTATATGATTATGCACTGTTTGAATTCTTTTGTAGTGAGCATGTATTAATTTGGTAATTAAAATTTTTTTTAAAGAAAATGATCACATAGGTATTTGATCTTTTTCCTTTCTAGAGAGGTATACAGTCCTAAGCATCCTCTTCCCAGACATACACAAACATACAAATGCATGGTGTTAAGAGCCAGTGCAATGCACATATTACTCTTAAAGGCAGGCTACAGCTTACTTAGACCAAATTAATATTTCAAAAAGGGTACAAAATAAAAATGCCGGAAGAGAGTGGGAGGAAATAAGCACACAAACAAAAGCCACCAGAAGAGAAATTTCGGAGGCTCCCACACACCAGCTAAGCAGCAGATTAGCTGTGAGGCAGGGGCTCTGTTCATCTGATAACAAGAACCTGCTGCCCTGGCAACTTTGCTGCTCCTGGGGTTTTCTTCCTTAGTATTTAGACCAGTTTTTCTCTGCACCCTTTTCAGAGTGCTTTTAGATGAATGAATAATTAAACAAGTCTCTACAGCTCAGTATCTATTCAACGTTAGTCATGTTTTAGACATAATTAAAATGTCTTCCAACAAGCATGTGTCTTTTTTTTTTTTGTTTGATTTTCCCATTGTGGATATTTTGAAAGAAGCTTTCTCCTGCAAACCTTCTGAGCTACGTGGGCTGTGTTATAAGAACCACAAAACTGTAAGGATAGAAAGGCTAATTTTTCCCTTTCTGATCTGCTAAAAATATCTCTCACAGGTTCCTCTTTGTGTTTTTTTGTCATCACCTGTAGAGGCCAAGAAAACGGAGTGTCCCCATGAGCGCAAAGTAAGTGTTGTGATTTGGATACCAGTCGTAAGTCTCCTTCCTCTTGGCCAAAGGCTGTTCACTAAATAATTTCACTACTTTCATGGATTTGGAATCAGTAGGCCTGGCAACTTCACCAAATAGCCGGGCACTCAGACGGGACATACGTAAGGCATATTCTGAAAGTGAAGACATTTCTTGAGCAGCAAGGAGCAAGAGTCCCTACAGAAAATGAAAAGAAAGATAAACAAGTTAGTGTAAGAAATTCCAAGATTATCTAATGAACACTTTAGAAAATGAAAACAATAGCAAGCCACATATGAATCAGCATACTGTTAGCAGGAAGTGCCTTGCAGTTGAGAAATATGCAGTCCAAATGGCTATTTCCTTAGCATGCTTTACATTTACAATTTTTATATTTTGTGTTCACAATACTAGCATTTCATTGCTGTACTGCCCCTTTTACAATGAACTATTTTGTGATTCAATAGGTAATTTACAGATATTACCTATTTGTAGCTGGATGAAGAAGACAGGGAAACAAGTTACCCTACCACAGCATTATTAGACCTTCAGAAAACACCCACCTAAGCAATCTGCAAAATAAATATGCTGACTCCTTGCCATCTAAAGGTGTAATCATGGCAGAGAAATAATTATGCTGTTGTCTTTATTATCAGTCCTTTGAACACTGTTCTCAAGGGCTCCAGATGGCTCTGAGAACTGCTAATGAGTTATGAGGTCATTTGGCCTCTAGGTTACTGGATTGAAGTCTGCCTTGAGACTGAGAGCCATTTGGAAAAAACAGATAGTAGTCCTGTAGAAATAAACTCAACAGCTCATAAATTTCATTCTATTCCTGAACAGAAAGCACATGAATTGTGATATTACTTCCTATCTTCCATCTTACATATTCCACCTAATCAAACTAGCTAAGCTCTTATGAGCTGAAAACAGTAACTTTTTCTTTAGAGGTACAGAACGTTGAAATAGGTATAAGAATGAAATAGGTATAAGAGTGATATACAAAAATTATAGCTAATAGACATCAAAAACTACATAGGTGATACATAAAAATCAATAATGTTGGTGAAATAACTATCCTGTTCCATTCTGGATAACATATAGGGGTTACTGTTGGTAGAATATGCCAATTTATGCGAAATTTTAGTTGTGAGATGAGAATCTTTGCTGACTAAGAAACTATCCTGGGGGGATGGTTCAGCTGTGATGAAAAGAAGGTGGTCTCCAAGTAGAAAAAAGGCATACACATACCTTGAAAAGCCAATGGGAGAAATAAACCAAAAAAAACTAAGCAGGAATTCTGTGAAGTAAATTTCAGAACAGCTCTTATAAGAAAACAAACCAACCTAATGTTTAAAGTAAGGAAGTTTTAATGCCCATTTCAAGATCCATTAAAAAAGTAGAGGCTGACCTCAAACCAATTGTAGAATGTCAACCTCAAACCATTTACCATTCTAAACAGTAACCAAGCAATCTTGGGCCAACAGTGCCACCTGAAGGCCAGAAATGGGACAACTGAGGGACCCAACTTGTCCAATCCAGGGATCACCTACATGCCTTGCTCTTCTCTTTTCCTTTTCTCCCAACTCTTGCTCCATTATGTGGATGCAGATGGTTTGGGGGTAGCGCTGTTAGGGCTAGGGTATACATATTTTCATCAATGAGGAAAAAAGTCATTAACAGTTTAATATATAAAGAGACTAGTAACAAACCAGTGACATAAACCTCTCAAGGACTTGCCAATGTCCAGAAGTCACCTTCAGAAGCCGCAAAAAGTTTCTTTGCATATTCAATCTTTTCTCTTCCTTCCACTTTTAAAGTTATCTTTTCCTAAACACCAGATTAAACAACAACAAACTGTTTCTTCATCAACTTTGCTTTGTTTTGCTTAATTACCATTACAGCATCAGAATAGATCTCTACCGTAATTGCACAGTATTACCACAATTAGTTATTTGTAAGCTGGTCTGGGAACTACCAATTTGTTACAATGTTTTCAGGAAAATATATTCTGAATTCCAAATCATTTTATTTTTAAATGAAGAGGCAGCATGAAATCCTGAGGCCTAGGTTTGAATAATGGCTCTGCTACTTATTACCTGCGTTATTTTGAACAGTTACCTATCCTTTCTAAATATGAGTTTCCTTTTCTGAAAACAAAGCTTGCATGACTTGTGAGAAATGAGTAAGACAGTGGCACTCAGTAAATGGTAACTTACAAAAAAACCCTACACCTGTTTGTAAGTCTGGTGTTCATGTGTTCTACATAGACACGTTTGTTAGTTCCTTGTCCTCATTTAATCATGCAAAAACAGAGATATCCTTACAAAGAAAGACAGCTAGAGAAACACAGAGGGGGACCAGCACCTTGGTAACTTGAAGGTAGTGAGGAAGAGGAAGGAACTCACAAGGACACTGGTCACCGAAGCCATCACTGGATGCTAAGTTATAACCATGTCCACTTTGTAATGTAGCAAATTACTAGGATACATAACTCATAAGTAATAAGGTCACATTACAATCCACTAGAGCATAATTATACTACAAAATCCACGTCCTAAAAATTTTATGATAGAGAAAGGGAATAAGCCTCTTCCAAACTGAATACCTTACTAGAAACAAAGAACCACGTGCTAACAGGGGGAATCTGAAAAAGGTTATAAGTTACCAACAACACTGCTTTGTAGTCTCCTTCCACAGAGCAGACATACATGAGGGCACGTCACAAAGTTCATGGAAAAATAGAATTGAAAGATATAATATGAATCTTTCTTTGTATCTATCTGATGAAAAATGACCAGGAGGTTGGTATACTTTTTCTTCTTTTTTAGATAGACTAAAAGGTTTTGCTGTCCATTAAGTGTTGGTCCTAAGACTGACAAATTGCCACTTTTTACTGGCTTTAAATTAAAAAAAAAAAAGTTCAAAAACCTTATTTAGTACTTTTCAGGACTTCAGTGTGCTTCCTTACAGAACTTTTCAATTTTATTTTAAAAATATATATATGGTGACCCTGATAATGACATTAATGTAAAAGGCAAATAATTTACATATGTCAATTAGATTTTGATTTACATGAAACCTTTCTAAGGGGTACAAAACAGTCACTTTAAAATGTCATCTTTCTTTAAATGAGAACTAAAAAAACTATAGTATCATGAAGAAAAGTTAACTGGAGTTTAAAATACTAAGCAAGGGCCGGCCCGGTGGCGCAATGGATAGTGCGCCGCTTGGAAAGCGCGGCGGCGCTCCCGCCCGAGGGTTCGGATCCCACATACAGACCGGTTCCCGCTCACTGGCTGAGCGAGGCGCGGGAGCAACACCGAGGGTTGCAATCCCGTTGCCAGTCCCCGGTCCGGTACGGGGGCAACACTGAGGGTTGCGATCCGTTGCCGGACAC